TTGTGGTGTGTTTTTGTTGAAAACCCCCCCCCCCCCCCCGGAATGCAGGCAGTCTTACTGTCGATATGGACCCTGGTCTTTATTATAGAACTCATATTTTAGATCGGAGGATTTAAATACATCAAGTATGGTTACCTTTTTTGGCCTTTTTCCAGAAACCTCAAGGAAGAGGGATGAAAGTATTCAGATATCTTTGCAGAAATCCTTTGTATTCGGATGTCTTATCATGACTACATTTGTGGCAGGAAAGAAATAAAAAATGAAAACATTTTACTCAAATGAAATAAACTATTATTTAGATTGCACATTCAACATACCATATACTGTATAATGGAAGAGGCCATGGCTCTAGAACTAAGGTAATTAAGCAGCTGAGGGAGAATGAGTTAGTGCAGTTTTGTTTTGTTGCGGGGTGGGGGTGTCTTAGCAAATGTTTAGATAAAAGGACAGCTGTCCTTTAAGAGGAAATTTATAATTTTACTTGTACGCATTTAGGACCATGGGTATTTAAACCTGTTGACATACAACCCTCTCTACTGCTTCCACTTATTCCTGGTATTGCAGTTTAACAAATGACACTCACTAAAAGGGGTTACATGTGTTATTTCCTGAATAACTGAATGTGCCGAGCTCGGCACATTTAGTTATTCATTTTTCACATATACACACTCACAGTGGGTGTACATTCTAGTGCCTTGTAGCTGTTAGTTTGCTTATTGACGCAGTTAATTTTTATGTATATATATTATGTGTTATTTCCTGTAGACAGTCTGCAGGCAATCACAGTGGTTACCAACTCTACACAAATTGTTCTACCCAAGTAGACATACCTTGTGATTCTGAATATATTTTTCTAAGTGTATTCATAAAAGCCTAGGTGTATTGTTTTACATATCTAATATAATCTGTTCTATTAATGACAGGGACAAGATGGGCTTGAGGGACTCAGAGGGGAGAAAGGAGATCCTGGACTCTCAGTAAGTGCATAGATTGCTGGGTTAGGCCTTTATTGCTGTTGTGTTACTTAAAGGATTAAGTATATATTTTACGCAGATTTTCTATTACAATGCTATGAGAATGTACCCTTAATAAGAAGTCATAGGCAGCAGTAAACATACACTACAAATTCCATATGTACACACTGGTAAAAACTGAAAGCTAAAATGTAGCTAAACTCATACACTTAACCCTTTCGCTGCTGGAACATTTTAATTACTTTTTCTTGCACACTTGTTAAAATACACATTATAGGCCTGACTATTATTTACAACCCCCAAAATATTTATATATTTTCTGAAAGCAGAGACCCTGTAAAATAGAATAATGGCAATGTTTGTTATGTCACACAAGAATTGCGCTACTGTTTAACAAATCAATTTTTTTTCAGTAAAAAATACACTCCAGGAATTTTAGTGCACACAAACACAACATAATACCTATTTTTTTGGATAAAATAAAAAGTTGAGGTTGAATTGAGTACAGAGATACCTTAAAAAGAGTTAAAGAGCATAATAGCCCAACACACTAAGGGGAAGCTAGCTCCGCCCAATTATTTTTTCTTTTCTTTAAAATATCTTTATTTTTTTAAATGTTACTATTTGTTTACATTTTTTTAAATATTTGTTCCATTCATTTAGCTGTTTCAATATTCAGCTCGGCAGCTTGAAGGTACCGAGCAGAATAGCCGAGCCTATTAAAGTACTGCCGTTCGGGCCCTATGAGAATAGGGACGATTGGCAGTGAGTGAGCTGCCGGAGTTTCGGCTCCGCTGATCCAGATGTTGGGTCGGCTGAGTCGAAGTCCTTCTGCACTTCGGCTTAGCTGAACATGCAGAGCATGTTCGGCTGACCGAAGGCAGCCAATGTAAGGCTGATTTCAGCCAATGTGTGACGTCGTTCAGCTCTGTTCACTTCGGCTCGGTTATTCACTCGACTGCCTTCTGCAGCTTTGTGAATGACCCTGTAAGTGTTAGGAAAGACTATTCCAAAAAGCAAAGTTTTCCATTTAATCTAATTTGTGCTATATTGAAATGGGAGTGCAATTTGTGAGTTGCTAGCTGGATTATTTTGGGCATGGCAGCTGGTAGGTAAAATAATCTCACTTAGGTGCAGAATTGTTATTTTTTTGCGTGAAATGGGCAGTTAACTATTTATAGCCTTATTTTCTTATTAATCACTATTTTATTCCACAAAGTGCTGTTTTATCAGTAGATCAGTTGCCTTTCCTAAACAAAGTAATTTATTTGTGATCGTACAAAAAAGCTAATTTTGCGTTACTGCAGCACAAAATACATTTGTATAGTGTTTACAATGCAAGGAACATGTTTTGCCCCTTTAGGCTTTATTAGGTAATGCTGGAACAAAATACTAACTGCTATGTAAATACCTTTCCACCTTCTCTCTCGGATTGGACACCAAAAGTACATTTGCTAGCTCAATTATGTCTCAGCAACCAAGAATATTAGAACTTGAAGCCTACTTGCATTTCAAGGGGAAACCAACATAAGCCTGTCAGCAAATCCTGATGCTCTCTCATAGACATCTCTAAAAGTCCTCCTATTTTTATTAAAAGTTAGCGCTAATCAAGGTACTGAGACATTATCACGGTCCGCAGCTGCAGAGATCGGGATATGTCTCAGTGCCTGTGATTGGCGCTGCGGCGCTGTCAGCTTCTTGGCGGGCTCGGTACGTGGAGCTGCGAACACCCCCGAGCCCATCACTAATTAGCATGTCCTGCAGCCCAGGTCATATATTCCCATATTTTTCTACCCCCTGTCTATTTTTTTCAAGTGTGGAAATAGTGAGAGCAAAGTCTGCCTTACTCATTCAATATTTATCACAGGAAAATACTAGTACTTGATGATGAATGTGCAGTAACCCACACCAACAAGAAAATATAGTTTAACCAATCTGACTACATTAGACAGCTACAGTTGTTACTATAGACTCTTTAGATCTTGCCAGGTGCGAGCTTTCCGATCTGACAGGAAGAGCTCTAGACTGCAGATAAGTGTCTCTTCATCAACCTGTTAACAAGACAAAGCATGCTGTTTCTATGTTAGAAGCAAATTCTCAGCATGCTTTTAAGCTAACTGTTCTTGCTGATTTGCAGGAGGAAGACGTGAAAGACTTGGTCAAAAAGGAGTTGAGTGACAAGTGTGGTAAGTTGCAGTAATTTGATCAAGCTACTGTACATCTTTTATCAGCTAGATTCCTGTATTCTTTATTCTATATTAAAGCAATTTGAATTCCAGCACAAACTACATATTAGCAAAACAATAGTGCTTCATTTGAAGAAACATAGAAACTGGAGAGCAAATGACCAGCATCAGCTAGTAGTCACAAGCTCTATTTTCTTGGTAATATGCACCAAACAATATTTATAGATTGCAAGTGTTACTCTAACACCTTCAACACTATATATTGTCTTCATTCAACAAACCTATATTGGATACAATTAGAAAATGAGACATTCTGTACAGGAATTAATATAGAGCTATACTGTAGGTGATTGTGAAGGATGCATTCCAAGTATGTGCCTCTAGAACAGATCTAATCTCCATGCCCCTTCTGCTGTGCCCTAGTCTTCTACAGTAGTTTTAGCCACTTGTGCAGATTATTTTTAGGAATGCAGATCATGTCAGATCAATTTGCTAATTTACATTATGCTAGTCGTAGCACAATGCTAATCACCTTTTACCTGATCTAAAACACTGTGCCAGTAGGAAATTTAAATGATTGACCCCACAGAGTCGGCTACACTCTAAACCAGGGGTGCCCATTAGGTCGATCGCGATCTACGAATCGATCGCAAAGCTATCCCTGGTAGATCACAAAATATCCTGTCCTCCTGCCGTGGGGCTTCTCTGGATCCACGCTGCTCTCCCCATCTGTATGCAGCGGGGATCCGAGGAGAAGTGAACGAAGCGCTGCAGCCGGTGGTGGGGGCGGAGGACGGAGCCGCTATCACAGCAGCACGCCAAGCGGTAAAGAGAGAGCCACTCGGCCTGGATCTGACAGCCGGCGGCTCTCTCTCTCTCCTCACCGCACATGCTGCTGTGACAGCGGCTCCGTCCCCTGTGGCTGAAGTGCTTCCCTCACTTCTCCTCAGATCCCCCGCTGCCTCTGCCTGTGCAGGACAGGACAAACACTGGAGTGATCAGCTGATCACTCCAGTGTTTGTAAATAACTGGGGACATATAGTACTATGTGTGCCCAGTTATGAATGAACAGGAAGTGCTTTACATCAATTCCTGTTCATTCATGAGTTTTCAATGGGGAGTAGTACTCTGTACAGGGGCTCCTCCCCATTCAGAAACTGGATGATAGTAAATTAAAAGAAAAAAATCCTGGAGGCGCTGGGTGATGTCACACGCCTGTTAGGGGGACATTTTTTTACTTGCCTCGGGCGCAAAAGGAGCTAGCTAGGGCTATGCTCCCGCGGTGCTCGTGTGGCTGCCGGCTGAATGTGTTAGACGCCGCAGACTGAAAGGGGCAGGACACCTCTCCCCATGTGCAACGTCGGCCACACGAGCACAGTGGGAGGACAGGACGCTGGCGGCTCTAGAATGCACTGGAATGCCAGCCAGCCGACTTCCTGCGTTCAGGGGCAGGAGGTGGTGTGTGATTGTGCCTGCGTTCCGGGTGTGGGCGATCGCACATGGCTGCTGTGCCATTGACTTCAATGCACCGCCATGCTCCCCCCCCCGGATGCAGCTGTTTTTTCGTTGGTAGATCTTATTGAGCTTGTCATTTGAAAAGTAGATCTCCGAACGAAAAATTGTGGGCGCCCCTGCCCTAAACACTGCAGGTGAAGTTACAGCTCATGTGCATAGTACAAAGCAAAGTGAACACTTGGGGGCCATTCACACCAGCAAGCAGCACTAAACGCAAGGCTGTTGGTGTGCATTGACAGGCTGAGTGTTAATTTGCCAACTTTTGTTAGAATTTTTTTAAATGTCATGAATCAAATGTCATTTCATTAGGTTCTATCGACACAGCATGGTGCACTGCAGTTGTACCTTGTTACATCATACTGTGCTGAAAAAAAAAGTACAGCATGTCATACTTTGTTATAGCACACACAACCGCAACGCAGTGGTGCAAATTGTGCTCACTTAAGGCAAGTCATATTACCCTGTCTATGTGTTAGGCGTATGCTGGAAAAGGCGGCCAGCGTAGCCCTAGCGCTTCTGGTGTGAATGGGCCTTTAATGGGAATCTGTGCTGGGTGCAACCTAGAAACTAGTATTGCTGACGCAAGGGTTAGATGCTGTTTTTGTCCAGCGGTAAAGAAATAAGCAGCTATACAGCCCTTATTTCTTGCTTCCCAGGCAACAGGTCCTCTTCGATGCATACTGGAAGTAAATAGCCCCTAGGCATCTACACATGCAATCAGGACTGCTGGTCCTGCATTGTACGTGATGATGTCAGAATGCCTATGACTGGTGGAGTGGTGCAGAGA